TATATATATATATTGTACTATATGTATATTTGTGTGTATGTGCGTGCGTGCGTGCGTGCGTGCGTGCGTGCGTGCGTGCGTGCGTGCGTGCGTGCGTGTGTGTTATACATATACAGAATATTTGTGAATTAACTATGTTCTCTGGCATTTGGCTTTCCTTAAAAGGCAATCTGAAAATCTTATTTGCCATTAACGAAACGTTGACACCGCAGAAGAAAACACGAGATATGTAATTAATCCTTTAATAAGGGATGACTATCGGTTAGCGCTTCTCCGACCTCGCACGTGTATGCGCGTGTATTAACATCTAGCCGTTACCTTCATATCAGAACGTGTTTTCGCTCCTTTCGGATTCTGTTTACGGATATTAATTCATCGTAATACTTCAAGGCGTTTGAACGTTAACGAGCGTGCCCATTTGTTATTACCGAGATATGACTTGCCTACGCTATTTCATGCATGCTGTGGCAACAGAGCGCTTTAAATTAATAACTATAGGTGTGTGTATATGGCAAACCGATACTCGTGCATAGAGCTCATAAAACCTGATATCAAATAAATATAAAATAAAATTTAAACATAAAATTATTTAATGCGATAAAGTTATTCGCTGTTTACGTCGTGATGGTATCATTGCTGGTTTTTTCTTGGATAAATGTTACATGCTATAACTAAAGTTGTACAGAATTTCTAACGTTAGTTGCTTTGCTATAATGATTGCTATGTTTATTTAGGATAGCTTTTTTTTTACAATTTATATGTTAAATGACATTTTCTTCTTCTGATTTATCAATTATTATATATTTTGTGTGTAAAAAATATTTTATAAAAATTAAAATAATTATAATCATTTGTTATTGAAATAATGATATAATTTGATTATGCAAATTAATCTCTCTAATAATATTATCTTACATTACTTTTTTATATAAATAGATTTTTATATAAATAAGTTACGAGATTATTATTAATGCTTATTAAACGTATAATTTATTATATTTTATACAGTTTTAAATACTCCATTGGAAACTATTATAATTTTCAACTTGAGTAAATATTACATAAAATTGTTAATATTTGATCAGTTAATTTGTAACAAAAAGATAATGTTTTTAAGAATGTACGAATAATTTGCTAGATATAGCGTTTGAGAAAAAATTGTTGGATGTTTCCTATGCAATATATAATCTTCTTTTTTCTATATTAAAAGGCAAGATATTTCAATTAGCTCGATAAGTGTAGAATTAATGTATCTATCTATCTATCTATCTATCTATCTATCGATTGAGAAACTGAAATATTCTTCAATGATTAGGTTTTTGGCTTCAATAACGACATTAACCTTTAACGTGTAATATATTCATACATAAATTTTCGGTCTTAGAATGTATTAATAGAACCAGTTATTTATATTTACTTGGCATATGTTTTGGAAAATGCTTGGTATAATTCTGTCAGGATTATGTAATTATTCATTTTTGATTACTAAAAAGACATAAATCCGTAGATTTAGAGAGAGGAAGATCAATGTCTATATTTTATTTTGTCCATATTTTTGCCTATTTAAAAAATTTGAAAGTGATTTTCTTTCACACGATTGTCGTAAATAGAGAATGCGCTTCTTTGCAGATTTCCAATTTTTTTGTATTATTCAAGCAGTTTTTCTCATTGTAGTAACTCATTTTAAAAACGTTGTGAAAAAGGGAGACTTTAAATTTGTCAAATGTTTAACGGAATTCTAATAGACCAGTTCTAATTAATCAGAATTTAATCAAAAAGATCTAATTGTAAGAAAAGGGCGAAAAAGAAGTTTAATAAAACATTTGCAGAAATATATAAAATATATCTAACGTTTAGAAGCAATTTGATCGAAATAGAATTACGTCAAACGTGAATCACTAGCACATGATGTTAATAACATAAAAATATAGTGCAGAACTCAATTGATAAAAATATTGAACGATGCGAACATGATAATTTTTTGTAAAAACATATACCGAAGTGAAATAAATTCAATTCTATTCTATATTTTGTAAAACAATTTTCTCATTTTAATTCTTTTCTTGCTGTAATTACGAAAGCTCTGTGAAAAGTCTGGACAATTTAAATTTGTCAGGAGTTTAACGAAACTCCAATAAACGATAAGAATGTAGAATTAAATATAAGAAAAGAACGAGAGAAGTCTAACAAAAAAGTTGCAGAAATACATCGTTTGTGAGTAATTTGATCGAAGTGGAATTACGTCGTTGTTACTTTGTAACGTGTAATCAACATTTTTTAAAACGTTAACGTGAGATCTCACAATTGTCTCATGCGAGCTGGAGAACGATCTGGCGTGCATTCGAGAATACATTCGAGCGTTTTACGCATCCGTAGTAAATAGAATCATTCATAGTACTCAGGCGTGGTACATCGTGAGCGATGTACCTTAGCTACTTACAATGTTAAGCCGTGTAGCCGATTACGGGACTTTTCTCACCGTTGCACTGTACTATTACTTACTAGCGCGTTTCTTGCTTCGAAACGAACAACTTAAATATGCGAATGATTCTTAACACTCCAATCAGTGATATCCGTACCAGCTTGAGCATCCGAGAATAAAAAATAGCTATAAAGATTTTACATTTTCCAACTTATCTGTGTTGTAATTCACATTTTTAATTAAGATTTTAAAGAATCAATGATATCCGTACCGGCTTGAGTATCGGAGAACAAAAAATACAATAGCTAAAGAACTTACATTTTCGAGCTCATCTATGTTATAATCCACATTTTTAATAACATTTTAAAGAATGAAGTTACACAGTTATAGAAATTACGCGAAGTTTGATTGTACAAAATTTTTGTTTTTCTCTTTATTTTATTAAAATAAAAATTGAAATGGAAGAAAAAAATAATATTTTCATTAAAGCGCTTGGAGTGATTTGAAATATTTCAATGTGTGAATTAGTGTTAAATATTTCAGTGAATTAATATTACGGATTGTACATACGTCATCAAATAGTCTGCTTTTTTATTTTACATTTTAGTGCATTTGCGGACACTTATTAGATCATCGTTAAACACTCGGCAAATGTGTCTGCCACAAAAAGTAGGTATACGTTAGATATCTATTAGCTTGTCTCTTTCGTTGGACATCTGTTAAATTGTCAAACTTCTTCTTCTACGCTTCCAGTTATTCTTAGCTAAATTAGGGGGCAGAAACGTGATGAAAAGTTCAAATCTAAAAGCCACATAATCGTCGTAATTCCAAATTAATGGTTGCCCGCCACGCGATAGCCGCGTAGCACGCAGAGTATCCGTCAGGAACTCGAGAGCGACGTTGTACGATAGAACATAACGCATTCGTCGTCGAGATGCTAATTAATACTACAAAGACGCGAATCAAGAAGGGATACATGCAGTGTGAGTAACTCTAAGCATTTATTTTCGTCGTTTATTATATGTTCGCCTTCGTACCGACACGATAAACACTGTATCATTTCGTAGAAGACAGGTATTAGATCCGCTTATTAATGTATATAAAAAAAATATATAGTACATAGTCCACAATTCATAATGTACAATACAACTGTAGAATAAAACGGAAATGACATTTAGAATTTTTTGCTTTTTCATTTTAAATGAATTATTAATATCTCGATCTGATCAAAGTAGTTCCATTTGTTCAAAATTTTTCTAAACATTACCAAAAAATTGCCAATAAAAATCTAGTTAGGATAAGTAATAATAATATTTTGATTGCCTAATTAAAGATAATTTTAAGATAAGTTAAAGTTCGTTCACGAACTTTATACAATTGATTAACATTGATTTCAACTTTATACAATTGATTTGGCACCATCAAGGTATCAAATAATGACTGTCACTTTAATTTGTCGATTGATATGAACGCAAAGAAAAATAATAAATTAATTGAATCCTCCTCTATGCTTCACATTTGAATACAATTTCCATCTTTAAAATATGAGCGATAGAAGTATCACATCTCGAGAATTAAGTAGTGTTTCATCAAAATTAAGAAATTCAAGAAATCTTGTCTTGATTTTGTCTTGAATCAGGACAAGATCGAAACAAGAAATTGATTCAAAACAAGACAAGAAATTGTTATTAAGACCAAGATTTCTTGAAATTTCTTGAATTTCCGTGACAGTTTTTTTTTTTTAATACTTTATTATTATAATATTTTATTATTTTATTTCTGATTTGAAAAGTTTTCAATTTAGGTTTCAACATTTTCAATTGTATTTATTAGTTTATAACAGGTTACATACATTATAACAGGTTAATATAGAAATGTATATTCATACATTTTCATTAAATAACAAAATAGCATAGCATGAGCAGAGTGTAAATTGATTATTGAAAAAATAAAAAGTCTCTGATGTAACCAAATTAAATTATACTCACCGACATCCTTGTTGTCAGATATTAATCTTTACATTTATGTAAAAAAATATATATAAAATTAATATTGCGAGATTACTTGCAAAAGTATTATGTATAAACATTTGCGTACTTCTACTAATAGTATCAATTAAATCAGAAATGATTAAAATATATAGTAATTATAATAATAATAATTATATCTAATAATCTGAAATAGTTACATTTGGCAATAATCTCATGATATTAAAAATGATAATTTGAGAAATATTTTTAATCTTTATTAATAGATTTGTATAATAGACATTATAGGCACACTTTTAAACCATGAATTTAAACATAGTAAATTACTCGACATTCAATTTGTACCTATTTCTTATTATCTCTTACGACGTGACATAGTCCCTGAAAGAGCCCTGCTTAAAAAATCAAGAAATTTCAAGAAATTCAAGATTCTTGAATTCGAAACAAGGAATACAATATCAAGAAATAATCAAGACAAAAAAATCGAAATTTTTTATCTTGAAAATCAAGACAAGAAATGCTATGTAAGACAAGAAATTTTGTCTTGGTGAAACACTAATTATAAGCCCGAAAAATAAAACGAATTTTGTAAAGCTGAACTTATGTCACGATTTTTTATAATCTTTCACTTTCAATTTTAATTCAATTTTAAACTCTCGTGATATCCGAAGCGTGCTTTCTATCAAAATGGAAGGATACTACAACATGCACGAGAGTCTTATTTAACGACACTTTGATCCTACATAATCTTCCTGTATGTAACTTTCCGATATATATAAATTACTATGTAAATATCTTGTACTTTGTTCCCTTTTACCTGCAGGTTAAAATAATTCGTTTTTCTTTTTTCTTCAACCATATTCTTTACGTTTAAGAAACAAATAGAAAGAATAATTATTCCCAACTCGTCACGCGTTGGTACAAGCGGGAATTTTTCTCTGGCGTTCGCGTGCGCGATCGTGGATGGTAAGCAGGACACGTACACGTGACGGTTCCAATGAACGCATGTTCCAATGAAAATCGTATATATTCCGTGCGTGCGCACAGGTGAACGCGCGAAGCGGCCAAGTGTGAAAAAGTGTGAAAGAAAATCCTTCTGCAATGGGAAAGCGTGTGGCCAATCAGCGGACAATTATAAGGAAGGAAACGCGTGATTCCACTGCTTATTTGCGCCATGCAAATAACACGAGATAGATTAAATGTCGGTAATCTTACAATGAATACAGGAGGGAAACTATATAGAAATACACGTAGATCTTCGAGGACGCGAAAGTTTTGTGAGATTGATGTCTCGCGCAAAATATAATAGGATAATCCGCAATTCCGTGAAACATCGATGATTTCATCGAATGCTGTCAATTCCTTTATCGCGCTGTTATGAAAGAGCGTAATTGCGTCAAGGACGTCGCTCTAGGCTGATCTGTCCTTTAACAGTGATAATAATCTTTCTCTTACCTTCGTAGCGACGGAAGGCAGAAAGTGTCTATTATAATTTATGTGTGTGTAACGACATCCTCCTCTTTTAAATGTTGCAGTCGAGAATCGCATCGGGCTTGCATCGCGGTAGAAAAAAACATGACGAGGAAAAAGGCGAGGAGAACGAAAATGATCCCGCCGGACGGTGGATGGGGTTGGGTGGTCCTTTTTTCTGCCCTCATCGTCAACTTTCTCATTCCTGGCACCGTCAAATCCTTCGGCGTGCTTTTCGTCGAGTTTTTACACGTTTTTAAAGCGTCGTCCACAGCGGCCTCTTGGATGCCAGCGTTATGCTATTTCCTGTACAGCTCGTTAGGTAAGCAGCTTTTTGCAATGATATTCCACTTTTGAATCGCTTATAAATTTTCTAAGAAAACACAATTACATTTTGTTTGTGTTCAGATACATATATATATATATA